TCCTCTGAAGATGCTGGCCACAGAGACCATTATACTTTCTTTCTATGGGTAGACTTAATGGAACAAACATACAGATACATATGGGCAGACATATGGACCAAGTAAAACATGCCAATAGCCAGAAAACAGAAAAATTGCTGTTTTAGACTAAAACACCCAGAATCTGCAAACACGTTCAGTGGCTATGCCAGCTGTGGATTTCAAGAATCATCATCTAAAAGAGTAAATTTTCCAAGCTCTGTCAAAAACTACTTCTTGTTCATTTCCCAGGATGCCATCCTTACTGGTCACAACACCGCCCTCTGCACAGACTCTCTGCTTCTTAGGTTAGCTAAAGAATCCATTTATAGCAGGCTATACACATGTCTTGCATGAGCCTGTGCCTGCCTAGCTTGTTGCATAACCAACCAGGTCCTATTTCCTATCGCCTAGAACCGTTGAAACCTCACAAACCACCAGGTCCCAGTTGGGAGAGGAAGAACGATTTCCTGCAGGTGTCCAGGCACCATGAATCACACCTTGTCAGAATCCTGGTCATGAACGGATAGAACAGGACCCTGGTAAATGCAGACGTTTCTAACAGCTTGGTCCATATGTTTCTCCCCCTCAATTCCCGGAGTCTTCCTCTTGATGAGCAAGGGGTTAAATGGGTATTAATCAGACACTTTGCAAGAAGCTTTGAAAACTCATACAAATATTATAAAAAATGCCTTTAATCATCTAATAGCCCAAACGGGGTAGGTGATGGATGGCCTGATCTCCCCTGCCTGAACAGATGAGCCTGGGGATGTGGGCTTACAGGAGGTGGGGGGAGAAATGAGGACACTTTTCTTTTCTCCCTCCCATGCTGCTTGGAGCAGTTAGAAATATGAGGTCACCCAGCAAGAGATGATAACACATTAAGGGCTCTTGAGAGATTAGCCTGTCAGCCTCGTTAGGAACAGGCGATTGGGGGCTGACTGCATAATTAGAGGCTGGAGAAGTCATAACTCACAGCAGTTTCGACAGCATGAGGGGGCCATATTCACAAATAGTCCTCTCCGTTTTGAAGTCACCTCAGTAGAACGCTTTCCCACACTGTAGGCAATGAGGTCCTCTCAACTAGCTGAAAAAGATATGTTCCTGCTACAACTCTTAAATTCTCTTTGACCCCATGCATCCAGCCTTATAGCAATGAACTGCTATTCCACTGCTGCCTAGAGGAAAACAAAGGATCCAGGAACAATATGGAACAAAATAATATAGATAACTTATAAAATAAGACAGTTTATAAGGAGGGATGAAGAGGCTCCTTCAATTTCCAATCCGGGAATAATCCAAGTTTATTGAGTTATTTACTGGACTGCTATTGGGTATATCAATTTTACCTCATATTAGGAAATAACCTAATAGGTCTGGATTTTTACTTACTGTTTGTAAGGCAGAAGCTAAACCACAGAATCAAGCAGGCTCACAGTTTAAGCAGGGAAGGTATCTGGCCCTGGAATGATGGAACAGACCCCTGCCTGCTTAGACCATGGGCTGGTGGGTGGCACAATGTGTGCCATGTGCTGACAAGTGTTTTTGAACTCTGAATAATTCTGGATTTTAGTAGCATCATCTAACACCTGTCAACACCTAATTTATTTCGCCATCTTCAATTGTATTAATGTTGTTGTTTTATTTTATTATTATTTGGAGTGTTGTTAGCAGCCCAGAGTAGACTTCGGTCCAGATGGGCGGGGTATAAATTTAACAACAACAACAACAACAACAACAGCCGCAGCAGCAGCAGCAGCAGCAGCAGCATCTTTACTATTTACGAAATCTTCATACAATTCACATGGTAATCTTGCTTCAACACAGAGATCACATCTTTAGTTTCTGGCAGGAAAACCTTCTATAAAGCTCCTGTTTCTGAGAATGAGAATAACTTAACTATGCAGAGATGGACACAACATAGAGCAATCCTAGCCCACTGCTGTTGTACTCCTATGAGTCACCTGTTACAGTGCCTTCATCAACATCACCACTCTTATAAGGCATAGTTTAAACTTCATTGTACCTTCCTAACCAATTCTAGCTTGATACTTCAATACTGAGATGGAAGCAACAGGAAGGAGCCAACAAAAAGGAAGTCTATTGTACCATCAAGCAACCTTCCAGTATTATACCTTGAGCAGCAAGGAGCATATTTCTCTTACTTACTGTATTTAACCCTATTCATGCAGATGTGCAACTCAAATGCTGGACAATGATAATGCTGGCAGAGTTACACAAATAAAATATAGTTAAATCATGAATTCATTTGCTGCAAAATAAATATATATAATATGTGGGAAGGTAGATCAATCTATGTATGTCCACTGATACTATGCAGAGTCATTTTAACAATCTTGCTCAGTTTCCTGCCACCAACTGTGGTCCAGCATTTCAGCATACTGTATAAGAAACACAGCCAGGCCTTGCTCTTCACTTCCAAATTTCATCAGGAACAGCCTGACCCGGGAGCAGTATCTCTTAGCACTGTCTTTACAGACAGTTAACAATCTGACAATCAGCAAATGACCAAGTAAAGGATCTTGAGCTTATCATAGATACCTCTGTGAAAATGTTGGGCATACTCATACTGCCCTTTTAGAAAGCTATATTGTGACCACATTCAGAATACTGTGTATGGGTTTGGTGATTGTATCTGAAAAAATAACGTTCTTTAAAGGTGAGAAAAAAGTGCAGAAAGGGGCAAATAAAATGACCAGGAGGCCTGTTGAGACTGATGTTGCAATCATACTATACTTACTGGCTTCCCATAGGAAACTGGTGGGATCTAAGTGAACAGATTGGTGGAGTACAGGTAGGCAACTGTTCAGATCAGTCATGGCCCTCCTAATGTTCTGTATGCTAATCTGCAAACAAACTCATTTAATGCTTTTGGAATCTAACTGGCATACAGCTAGATTACACTAGACAGGCAAGCAAAAGTAACTTCACTGTGCTCCCTAAGATATTCACCCATCTCAAATGTCTGTCCTCAATACATTGTATCTCACTTTGAAGCAAGGCTTCCGTTCTGAATTAACTGCACTTCAGCTTGTTGATTAATGGGGGAGATGGGGTGGGGAAACATGGTGCAGTCACTTAAAGGCAAGAAATCTTGGCTCTTCCAAGCTCCTACTATAAGGCACTGATGCTTTTCCTTGCCTCAAGGCAAACCTCTTTCAAAACTTTACTGCCATTTTGATTTCTATATTTTGTCAGATCTTTATTTCATCACTGTCTATATCCACAGAGTTGATGCCTGCTTTGTGCATATATAATCCATAAATTTTGAATTGTTTTCAGCTAATTACCTTCTTTCATGCAAACAGCATGAGAATAATGGGCAGCTCTCGTATCACCCAGAAATTATTCCAGAATTTATCTGCTAGTCCCATTAGCTGAATATGTAAAGTAACCCCTACCTCACTTCTCCCTTCCTCAGGGGGGATCAATAGCCCCACTGAAGGGACTAAGACCTTGCGGATTATTTGGCTGGAGTAAGATTATGAATTCGGTGGTGGGGG